CTGGGGATCTGGAGCCAGCCTCGGGCCTTTGTGGGGATTGGCTCACAGGCCTGCCACACGGCCCCAGATGAATAGGTATTCCCAGCCATCCCTATGTGATTTGGGAGAGTCCAGCAGGTAATTGTGGTGGATAGTACTTATGTCCCCAGAACCCAGAAAGCCTCTTCCTCCTCTGACCCTCTTTCCATTCTCCTCCCACCCTCCCCACGTGTAACAGGATGATGACAGCAACTTCCATATGGATTTCATCGTGGCTGCATCCAACCTCCGGGCAGAGAACTATGACATTCCCTCTGCAGACAGGCACAAGGTGAGCAGAATCTAGTCTTTACATTCCACCCCTTTCCAGCTTTGAGTTCCCCTCATTCGGCCCCTTCTGAAAACCCTGAGCCTTTCTAACTACTACCTTTCCTGATCTCCTCTTGCATCACAGAGCAAGCTGATTGCAGGGAAGATCATCCCAGCAATTGCTACAACCACAGCAGCTGTGGTTGGCCTTGTGTGTCTGGAGTTGTACAAGGTGGTGCAGGGGCATCAACAGCTTGAGTCCTACAAAAATGGCTTCCTCAACTTGGCCCTGCCTTTCTTCGGCTTTTCTGAGCCCCTTGCCGCGCCTCGACACCAGGTAGGGGCCTGCATCAGGAGGGATGGGTTTGTGGGTGGGGTGTGTTCTTGTGTGTCTCTGTAGAACTAATTCTAGTCTTCATCATACTCTGTCACTAGGTGAGGGTTTCTTTCAATGTGTACCTGTTCTTTTTTGTGCCGTTGTTCACTAATTCATTCATCACGTATTTTTTGAGTGCCTAGTATGTGCTAGGAACAAAAAACGAGGAGGGCAAGGAGGACGAGGACTTGGGAATAACAGAATGAGGAGCAGGTTTGGGATTTTAAGTGGGGTGGTCAGGGAAGGCCTTGCTGTAAAGATGACATTTGAGACCAGACTTGAAAGAGGTGAAGGGGACAAGCTATGCAGGTTTCTGGGGGAAGGACATTCCAGGCAGAGGAACCAGTCTTTGCAAGGGTCCCGAGGTAGGAGTGTGCCTGGCATGTTTGAGGAACAGTAAGTAGAAGGCCAGTCCAGTTAGCGCAGAGTGAATGAGAGGATGAGTGGGGGTAGGGGATGAGAAAAAGAATGATTCCAATGGTGTGTAGGGTCTTGTTGGTCATCATAAAGATTTCAGTGCTTAACTCAGGGTGAGATTGGAGCTATGAGAGAATTTCGAACAAAAGAGGGCTGTGATCTGAGTATGTCTTCATGAGTGTGTGGGGTGGGAACTGACATGGGCTGGACCCTCTGGGGTGGCCCCTGTCCTTCCTACTCTCCTGCTCCTTGTCCTGCAGTACTATAACCAAGAGTGGACATTGTGGGATCGCTTTGAGGTACAGGGGCTGCAGCCTAACGGTGAGGAGATGACCCTCAAACAGTTCCTCGACTACTTTAAGGTAAAGCCCTTTCCCTACTCTCTCACCCCACCTAGGGGGCAGGGTGTGCAAGTGATGGGCTATCCACTCCCATGACACTGCTGTCTCCCTCTACCCCCTCCAGATAGAGCACAAATTGGAAATCACCATGCTGTCCCAGGGTGTGTCCATGCTCTATTCCTTCTTCATGCCAGCTGCCAAGCTCAAGGAACGGTTGGATCAGCCGTGAGTTGGCTACTGGGCAGGCTGGGGAAGGCGAGGGGCAAAAGGGTGTGTGGGGTAGGGAGCCTCAACTCCCATTTTACCTCACTCATGTACTCTGCCTTTCCACCTCTTCTGCCCCATCTACCTGCCCTTCCTCTTTCTTTCTGCCTCCCTGACCCTCTGCTTCCCCACCCCCAGGATGACAGAGATTGTGAGCCGTGTGTCAAAGCGAAAGCTGGGCCGCCATGTGCGGGCGCTGGTGCTTGAGCTGTGCTGCAATGATGAGAGCGGCGAGGATGTCGAGGTCCCCTATGTACGATACACCATCCGCTGACACCATCCACCCCTCTAGACTGGCCCTAGTCTACCCTTCTCAGACCCCTTCTAGCTGAGGGCTCCCATTTGGCCTCTGGCAGTGGCACAGCTAGCCAAGCCTGGTGTTTCCTCACCATCTCCCACCCTGAACCCCTCTTGCCACTGCTTCCTACCTTGTTTGGAACCCGAATCCTAATAAAGAATTATTAACCCAGATGTGGCATGCCCTGCTGGTCCCCAGGGAAGGAAGGGGCCTCTTGGAGCTGTCTGGGTTCAGGTGATATCCTGAAGGGCTCAGCCTCACCTCAGCATCATGGAACTTGCTCAAAATCCAGGTTTCCTGGGCAGAGAAGATAGGGCAATTGGCGGCTCTTCTTCGTGCCCTCCCTGCTTGGAAAGAAATCGAAGCGCAGGTACCTGGGTCCATGTGATTTTATTCACTTAAGCAAGGTTCATATTCTACCTTCTTCATCTAACGATCTTCCATATTGATTTTCATATGTAGCAAAGAGTAGTGTTTGAGCAAATCTTTTAACTTCACTAATCTTTCTCTGCTCTGTAAAGAGGAAAATTATGGTGACCAGGCTGCCAGGGCTTGATCAACATGGCTTTTGTCCTTGGGGCAAATTCCCTCCCACCTGGCTTGAAGCACCGAAACCCAGGACAAGCCTTTACAATCATGGTTCCTAGCTCCAAGAATGCCTGTGGTGACCTCAATCCAATTTCCCTGCTGCAGAGAGGCCTGAAAATCTCTGCTGGACTGGGAAATGCCAGTGCCTTAAGATATACTCTGTGTTTATTACGGAAATTTTTTGGCTGAGAACGTTTGTAGGGGAAAAGCCCCTTTCCTGCCCTACCCTGCCCTCCTCAGCCCCGGGTTTGCTTTTCCTCCCCTTGAGTGTCCTCAACCTTTCTACCAGTGAGAAGAGTGCAGACTTGGGGGGCTGTTAGGAATTTATTGGTTAGAGCTGGCCCCACTAAGACTGTAAAACTGCCCACACTCAGCATTTCAGATAGCTGAAGCCACATCTTCAGATAGCCACATCTGTGCCTTCCTCCTTCAGTACCAACTCCTGGTGTCCTAGGATACCACTCATACCTCTCCCTCACCCAGCCAGATACCCATTCCTCTATCCCATTAAAACCTCTCATTCTTCCACTTAAACCTGGGTATTGGGAGTAGGTCAGCCAATCCTGGTCCTATCCTGACTCCCATCACAGCCTGTCCTCACCTCTGCTGCCTTCTGGGCCAGCTCTTGACCCCAGGCACAGTGTTTATCCTTGTCTACTTCTCATGACCATTTTCTTCCTGGCCTGTTCTGCTTGACTGACCTTATCCTTCCATTGGTCCTCTTAATTTCCCACTTGGACAGTGGGAACATTGGGAGCAGAAGTGTTTTACCTCTGTCTAGGTCAAGTGGAGAGGTTTGGGTGTAGCTTTTCCACCATGGGCAGTTTTTCCATGGTTGTTGCTTTAGTGTGCCCCCAAACACCCATGCCTTTGGCCACTGTCTCCACCATTATAGGGGGAAGCTTACACACAAACTTTATTTCTCTGCCCCCTTTCTCCACAATCCCAGCTACTGGCTACTCAGGACACCTGTTTACTGTATTGCCTTTCTTCCCCCATTACAGCTCCTGACTCCATACACTTCTGCCCCTTTTTTCTTCATCACAGCTCCTGAATTCCTAGATGCCTTATACATACCTGACACCCTTCATCAAGACCAGCTTGTGAATCACTCATGAATTCTGGTTTCATCTTAGTTCCCACATATACCATTTTACCTCTCCATCATATCTGTCTGTTATAACACCAGCAAGGAAGGAGACCAAGGCTCAGCAGGCAGGGGTTGGGTCACTGCACTGAGCGTACTACACCCAACAGGCACAAAGGACAGGGTAGATGGGACCAGTGTATCTCCTGGTTTTTGCCTGGAACTATTTGTCATTCAGGCATTCCACATTTATTGAGTGCTTGCTGTATGTCAGTCACTGTTCTAGGTGTTGTGGACAGCAATGGATAAAACAGATCCCTGTCTTCATGGGGCTTATGCTAGGATGAGGCCCAGTAACACCAAAAAGTAAACTGTTAGGGGTTGATCGGTGCTATTCAGAAAGTGAAGAGTAGAGCCTGGTCTGGAACCTGGAATGATGGTGCAGGTAGGCAATTTTAAATTGAGCTGTCAGGGAAGGACTCATGGAGAAGAGGACATTGAAGCAAAGAGTAGGAAGAAGTGAGGGAATGAGCCATGTGGGTATCTGGAGGAAGAGCATTCCAGGCAGAGGGAAAAGCAAGTAGTGCAAAGTTCCTGAGGCTGGATTGTGCCTTCCTTACAACAGCGAGGAGGCTAGTACGGCTGGAACAGAGTGAGAGGAAGGGTAGGAAATGAGGTCAGTGAAGTGACAGACCTGATCGTCTAGCTGCGGTGAGGACTTTTAAAGTCTTTGTCAAATATTTCCACTCCCACCATGGCCTAGTAAGGATGTTCCGAAAGCTGTTGCCATTTGAACTGGATTTAGTGTAGTTTTCCAGGCAGAGAGGGGTGGGGTATTAGGCCTGCCTGGCAGTGCTTGGCACAAACAGGCACCCAACAATTAAAGAATACATAGAAAATCACGGACGGATGTGGCGTGGGGTGAGGGGGTGAGCCGTGGGCGGGGCTCCGGCGAGCAAGAAGAGTGTTTGAGTGCTCCCAGGAAAAACCCAATTCAGGACGCTTACGTAGCTGTTCCCGTGGGGCGGAAAAAGGCTCCTCCCACCGCAAAGCCCCAAGCATGCGCAGTAACGGAACCCTTGCCTCTGAAGGTCCGCCTTTCTTCTCAGGCTAGGCTCCACCCTATAGGCCCTGCTAGGGAAGATGGAAAGATTAGAGGCGGGACGAAACCCGATTTAACGCTCTTTTTACCAATCACCTTGCGGGATATTCGGCCAGTAGTGAGGGGAGCTCAGAACAAAAAGGAGCCCCTCCGCCACCCTGATGATGAAAGCCAATGAAAACCGGGCAGAGGCGGGGGAGGCAGGAGGGGAAATCGCGCCTCTTCAGCCCAGCCACGCCCTTCATTCTTGTTCTGCCTCACCCAAGGGAACAAACCCCATTGGCTGGGCGGCAACCTGAAAGGCGGGGCCCGCACGCGTTCACAGTGGGAATGAGCTGAGGGGGCCAGTTAGGCGGGGCTAGACTCTGTCCTATCTAAGGTGGTAAAGGCCAATGATTCTCCAGGCCGCCTCTCCTAGAAAAGTCATCTCGCGAAACTTTAAAATTCCTGCCTTCTGAGGCACCGCGAGGGGCTAGAACCAACAACCTCATTTATCATCTTCCTCATTGCAAAAGTGGCAAGTCCCCTTTGCTACCATGAGGATGTACCAAGTGAGACCGAGTAGGGGGAGCGAGTAGTGACTGGCACGCCTGGTTATTGGCTGCTGCTTACCTCGGCGCTAGCAAACTTCTGGCAAGATCGAAATTGAGTGCTAAACAACCCATACACTTCCCTCTGGCGCCGTTCCAGGGCCAGCGCCACGTTCCCCAGTGGGCGCGCAATGGCCGCGCCCCCTCCCACTGCGGACGCGTCTTTTGGTACATGCAGTCCGAGGTGAGTCGCCTCCTTCCCACTTTACCCTTTTCAGCGCGTGCGTGCGCATGCGCAAAGCGCGGCGCGCGCGGCGGTTGGGCCGTTGGCTGTTCGGCCCTGGGATCCGCCGCGTCTCCGCGAGCCTTCGGGTCTGAGCCGCAAGCCCCGAGCGCTTGGATTCGAGCCGGCGCCAACGAGCCCGGGGGCATCGCCCGCAGCGGCCGAGATCATGGCTGGCTGAGCGGGACGCCGCCTCCGCCTCAGCCACCGCCGCCGCCGCCGCC